CTGACCTGGGTCAGGAAACTCCCTGGTTCCCTGACTTACCTGGACAGTGAGCTGCCTCAAGGTTCAAGGCTCTTTTTAGGGCCTGTTTCAAAACTCAACCAAGTCTCTTGAAGTGGTAACTTCAAATTTTGCTTCTGTTTGGGTGCTTATAGTTCTGGTTTCCTCTTAAAGATAGTATTTCCAGAGTTGTAGTTGTAGCTAGATAATACCAGTTGGAACATTTTCCCAAAATTTTTAAACTTAAAATATCTGAAGTGATATTGATGAATTTTCCTTCTTCTCTCCCCTACTACATACATACCCAAATTCTGTGCAGAATAGCTCCTCTCCCTTTTTGTTGTTCATTAGGTCATTCTTTTGTTGAGACATTCTCTCAGCACCACGTGTGGAGGATCTGCTGTGGCCCGAGCCCTCAGGGTACTGGAGATGCTGCAGTGATTAGTGGGCAGGGCCCTGATATTCCTCTGTGTGCTTATGCGTGACCCCAGATATGTGTCATTTCCCCACACCAATTCTGCAGTTCTCTAACACCAGCTGTGTGTCCAACAATTTCATAGGATTCTTTTTTTTTTTTTTTTAAAGAAAGAGGGAAGAGAGAGAGAGAGAATTTTTTTTTAATATGTATTTTTCAGTTCTCGGCAGACACAACATCTTTGTTTGTATGTGGTGCTGAGGATCGAACCCGGGCCGCACGCATGGCAGGCGAGCGTGCTACCGCTTGAGCCACATCCCCAGCCCCTTCATAGGATTCTTATACTAACTCTTGGAATTAGTGTGGACCCCACGGGTTGAGAGCTCTGTCCCACAAGGTTGCTCTCACTTCAGCTGCCAGTGGGATTCCCAGACAACTCCCACTTAGGCCCTACTGATCGCACATTTAGGGGTTCTAAGATTTGATAATTTTCTGGAACAAAACAGTTTAGGAAGGTGCTTGCTTTATGATTACCAGTTTATTACAGATGATAGAGGTAAGTAAGGGACAGCAAAGTGAAAGAGATGCCTGGAGCATGGGTGGAAGAGCAGGGAGCTTCCGGGTGCTTTCACGGCCTACAGGCATGTCACCCTGGAAGCCCTTGAGCCCCATCAGGGAAGAATGGTTATGGGGCTTCATTACACAGACACCTTGATCAAGTCAGTGGCCATTGGTGATTGGGCTCCAGCTCCCCCTCCTTCCCCAGAGGTTGGGGTGGGGCTGAAGGTCTTGCCTTTGTCTTTCTGGAGACCAGCCTCCATTCTGAAGCTACCTGGGAATCCCATCATAAGTCATCATATTAACTTAAATGTAGGTGTGATAGAGAGGGGCTTATGAATAGCAAAAGAGACCCTTGGCCCTCATGAAATCCCAAGATTTTTAGGAGCCTCTGGGGCAAAAACTAAATGTTATCTGTCTCCCTAAATACATACATAAAAAATGTATCAAGAAGTGTCACGTGCTATGAAGAAAACTCAACCAGGGTAAGGTGTTGAGGCAGGCAGAGAAGTTCTCTTGTGAGTGGGGAGCTTGGGAAGGGCTTCTGAGAAGTGGCTTTCTAGCAATGAACTTCAGGTTTGGAGCCTTTCGGGTGTCTTGGGAGGAGAACATTCCAGGCAAGGGGAGCGGCACAGCCAGAGCACCTCAGATGGGGTGTCCGTGGCCTGCGCAGAGTACTGGAGAGTTGGAGGGGCAGGAGGCTGGGTCTAAACCAGCTGGAAGTCTGTGTGCTTGTGAGCCTGTGTGGAAACACTGGACTTATCTCAGTCCTTCTTTCCTTTCTAGTCATCAAGTTTAGGTAATGAGTTCACATAATTCTTAAGAACTATCCTGCTGGGGCTGGGGGTGTAGCTCAGTGGTAGAGTACTTGCCTAGCATGCAGAAGGTCGTGGGTTCCATATCTAACCCAGCCCCCAAAACTATTACGTTCTCCTACGCTGTGATTCTTTCCTTTCTTTTTCTCCATTGGTGACGCAGAAACCTCTTTAACTTGAAAGCTAAAAATTGCCTCACTAGAAAAATGGACAATTCTCCTGGATTTTATGGATTCCTGACATATTTATTGCTTTGCCACTGGTTCTTTTTTTTGGGGGGGGGGGAGCTAGAGATTGAGCCTAGTACTTGGTGCATGCTAGGCAAACACTCCACCACCAGGCTACTTCCTCAGCCCTACATACCTGCTCTTCTTTGGGAAATCATTTGAGCTCTGTAAAAAAAATCCAGTTATTCCAGCATTCTTGGACTTTCTTCTTTTAAGACGCCTCCTCCTCCTTTTAAGACCTCTCCTGATCCTGCTCACTGTTCAGCTCTTGTTTCATCTTCATATGGTGGCATGTGCTTATCTCAGTAGCTCCATGTTCATCCCGGTACTCTCCAGGAACATCTAGGGAAATTACCTGTCTGTACTAAATGATCGATTGGTTTTCCCTGGTTCAGTACTGTTAAAATGGGTGCATCTTTTAGAAGTGCATATCAGTTCCTTTGATCCTTTGTTTCTGGGTCTGACATATATTGGCTTAGAATAGATGAAGGATGTGACTCAAATGTAGATACTTTCCGTACTTCTCTTGGTTCTAAGATGTTGGCTGCTCATTCAAGAGCAAGGTGTGAGCTCAGGCATTTGCTTCCTTTTCTGATTCTGTTTCTCTCCCGGCTTCTGCTCCTTCTTGGCCTCAATAGCTTCCACCACCCTCATCTTTGGAAATTGCCACAGAAACAACCCAGAACAACCCAGAAGAGGAAACCACAGAAACTGTAGGTAAAGGGTCAGAATCCGTCATTGAGGGAAAAAAAGAAGAGGACAATTCCTGCAATGCCAGCTCAGAGATGCAGCAGATCCTCACACGGGTTCGCCAGAACTTTGGCAAAATCAATGTAGTGCCCCAGTTTTCTGGGGATGACCTGGTTCCTGTGGAGGTGTCAGATATTGAAGAAGAGCTGGAGAGCTTGTCTGCTGAGGAGGAGGAAGAAGAGGAGCAGCCAGGGGAGGAAGACGAGGCCGAGTCTTACCAGGAGTCCCTGGAAGAGCCAGGGCAAAGTGACACTCAAGCAGTCATTAAAGCCCTGGATGAGAAGATCGCAAAATACCAGAAGTTTTTAAACAAAGCCAAGGCTAAAAAGTTTTCAGCCGTCAGGTAATATTTTCACCATTAAATGAATTGCATTTGTTCTTTTCCCCAAAACTTGCCACAAGTATGGGAAAGGGTGTTTTTGTTTTTAGTGCTAGGGGTGGAACTCGAGGCCTTGAGTGCACTAGGCAAATGATCTACCACTGAGCCTACCCACCCCTGTCCTGGCAGTACTTGGGTGTGGGTGGCAGTCATCGCAGATTTTAAGAAGAAATTGTATGAATCTTGTCACATTTAGCTCCCTGAAGCATGAGAAAATTAGTTATCCAGTATCTTAGAAATGCCCAAGGGACTCCACCAACTTTTTCCCCCTGGTGTTAACTGTGCAAACAGGAGGGGAGTTTCTTTATTTTAGAGGTTGTTGCAGGTCTCCAAGGCACCCTGCTGCGGGTGACTGAAGAGAATGTTGGGCCACTTCATTACTTTGCTTTTCTGTTTCAGAATATCCAAGGGGTTAAGTGAAATGGTTTTCGCCAAACCTGAAGAACAGAGAAAATCATCTAAAGAAGAAAATGATATAGGTGAAGATACATCATTTAAATCATTTAAATGTGATTTGCATCTTTAGAATTTTGGGAACCTAAGTTGAACTTCCAGGTGACCTCTACTGGCATCCACACAGATACTTACCCTATCTGGCACATGCCCTGGTTCTCCATAGTATTAATCATACAAATTGGGTTATCTGCTTCTCATTGTTCACTTTGTCAGGATTAACTTGGCAATTCAGGAATCATCTTCCTAAGAAGGGTACAGTGTTAGTCTAAGAATCTAAGGATGGGTCCACAGACAAATTGGAGCAGGGACATTATATGAATTTGTTCTTGACCCCTTTTGACTGACAGTTTCCATATTAGGAGTGTTTATGTGACACAAAAGCAAACCCTGCTATAGTCTGTGGGGTCTGACCTGACCTGGCACCCTGCCTCGTCCTGCTTCACTGTATGCTGTGCTCACCTGCCCCATCCACTGGCCACCTTCCTCCTCTCCACCGTGGAATTCAAGGGCAAACTTTGAATAGAAAATTCCTTTTTTTTTTTTTTCCATGTGTGTTTTATGTATCATTTAGATCCAGCACCTACTAAAAAGGGAAGGAAGCGGAAGGCTCAGAGGGAAGAAGAACATTCAAGTAAAACTCCAAGGACACTTACATCTAAGGAAGTAAGTACTTTAGTTCCCAAGACCCAGGTGTAGAAAGTAGGGAGAAGTGCAGTTCTCAGGATGCACTTTCTGAAACAAATGTGGGTCTAGAGCTGAATCCTAGGAACCCCAGTCCTCAGCTATCTGGTTGAAGTCGCTTAAATAGGGTCAAGAGGTGGCCAACTGGACAGATGTCATAAGTCCATGGAATTTGTTCCTGGGTACTGTCTTCTACTTTGTGACCTACCTTTTGGAAGAATTGGTGGTTTTGTGTGGTCCCTGGGAGATGACCCGAGGAACAGAACTGGCTAGGCAGGCAGATCACTGACCTCCATTAGAACAGCTTTGTGACCGTGCTCTGTGGAGCTGGAGCAAGCCCTCCAGGGAGAACAGATTTTCAGGAATGCCACAAAGGATTCAAGCAACAGAGGTGGGGTTGGGGGCTGGACCAAATGTGAATCAGGAAGGGGTCAACAGGTCTGTGGGGGGGACCTCTCTTTAGCCCTGTTTCACTAGTTGCAAGGGAGGTGGAGTGGTGAGAGACAGGCTCCTGTTTTATGACTTTCAGCGCTTGATTGGGTTTTTCTTTTTTCTTTTTTTTTTTTTTGCAGCGAAGGCGAGCAGCACGGCAGCAGCAATCCAGAAAAGTTGGTGTGCGCTACTATGAAACACACAACGTGAAAAATAGGAACAGGAACAAAAAGAAGACCAATGACTCCGAGGGACAAAAACACAGACACAAAAGATTCAGACATAAGCAGTAACATGTAAAAAAATGTTTATTAAATTATATTATACAAAAATATACAATTAGAAATTGTAGTCATTTTCTTCATGCCCACTTGGCATTTCTAAGGACACAGTGCATGTGTTCTGAGGCTTGACAGATGCAGCCATTCACTGGTGCCGGTGAAAATAAAGCCCTCAGCCCTACTGAGTTCCATCGTCAAGTCCATTGACCTCTCCAAACACTTGAGTCAGCTCTGAGTTCCTCCAGAGTGTGCCTCTGGCTGTGCTGAAATGGGATCTGGGATCTGCAGAGTGGTATTTCCTTTGAACTGCCAGGCAACAGCATGTGTGGAAGCTCATAGAGCTGTAGCGTGTTTCAAGGATGTTTGGTATACCTGGCCGTACTTTAAGATATGAGGAAAAAGCTCTGGCAACTTTTGTCCCTCATTAAGTGGACCCATTTAGGACATGCATGCTTTGCTGTCATGAGTCATGGGACCACAGATCTCAGGGAATGGAGTTCTTTCCCATGAAGATGGCAGCACAGGCAGGTCACTTGAGTGGACTTATAATTCCTCAAGACACTGGGTACGGGTCAAAGCTGTGACTTGCAACCTGAGATTAGAGTGGTGGGGTGTGCTCTAGGAACACAGCTCTTGTGGGACTAGTTTTCCCAGTGAGCCTCGAAGCCCTAATCGGGAAGGGTGTTATGTTAGAGCTCTGCCAAGGAGTCAGTCTGTCCTTGCACTTCAAGGGATACTGAGTGGCATTTCAACCCTGTGAAATGGTAGTGCCTTCCTAAGGAACCAGACTTGGGAAACTGCATGATGGATGTCACCTGGCTTGCTGCCCTGGTCTGCCCAGAATTAAGGATTTGTGTCACTAATTCAATCCTCTGGGTTTACAGAAGCTGTCTGCAGGCTTTACTCTGGTCATTAATAATTAGCATGGCCCCTGGGCACAGTGGCATATGGTTGTAATCCCAGCCACTTGGGAGGCTGAAGCAGGGGGATTGCAAGTTCGAAGCCAGCCTCAGCAACTTAGTGAGACCCTGCCTCAAAATTTTAAAAGACTAGCTCAGTGGTAGAGCACCCCTGGGTTCAGTCCCCAGTACCATGCACATGCACACGCACACACACACAAAGTAATAGAAACTGCATACAAGAGACGGTTACCTCTCCAGTTGTTTAAACAGGTAACTATGGGGATGTGGAGTCAGAGTTCAATTTTCTGCAGAATAAGGTGAACGATGTCTATGGGAGGGAGGAGCTGAGGTGTGGACAGCTCACAAAGGACACTGGGACTTGGATTCCTTTCCAGCAAACATTTACTTCCTCCGCAGCCTGGGTCTGCCGCTGCCGCTGTTCCCTGACCTCTTAGACTGAGGAAGAGATCCAGTTGATGTGGTGGGTGGGGATGAGACCATACAGCAGAAAACCAAAGCTCCAAAATGAGTTACCAAAACTGCATTGGTTAGGAATGAAAATGGAATGACCGAGGCCAGAGAAGCCCCAGTTAGGATACAAGGGAACCTGTGAACTAGACATTTGAGAGACAGGAGTAGCTTCCTTTGGCCACACATGGATGGTGGATGAGATGGGAAAGCAGTTCCTTCTCAGTCTTACTATTTGAGTTGGCGAATCTCCTGGTTGGCCCACAAGTTGCATACCGAGACTATCAGGGTCACGCCACCCTCTTGCCTAACCAGGAGCCTGGTTGCCAGACTGTAGGTGTCCCATGACACTGGGGCAATAGTGTGACTTCTGACAAATGTGTAGGTGGTGGTCAGGGGAGGGGATGGCTTGTTCACTCAGGAAACTAGCTTTTTATTACAAAGGGCTTGTGATGGGGTGGTAGTATTCGCTGAGACCCATATGGAAATTATCACTTCTTTGGTGCAATAATGCCTTCCAGTTGGGCCTGAAAAAGAAAACAAACCATTAATGCTTGAAGCTTGCAGCCTAACACAAATAGCTGAGAGGTGATAAAGTCTCTGGGAAGAATAATCCAAATGCTGCCACTCCAAGTGTTCTTTTCTCCCCCCTTCATTCTCACTCCATATTTTCGGGATTAGCTGGTTTCTGGCTTGGCGTAGTCTTGTTACACCAGGAGAAACCAGAACTGTCCTGGTTTCCATACAGTAATAGCTCAGTGTATAATATAAAGCATTGAAAAGGAAATTGAATAAAAGTTGTTGAAATAGTGGTTTTTCATTGCTCAGATTTCAGGCCTGAATGTGTCTGCTCTTTGGTTTAGGATCCTGGGATCTCTGCTGGGACCAGAGGTTTGGGAAGCAGCAAATTATCAGCCACTAAGACAACTTGACACCCAATTAGAGAAAATTGCTACCAGTGAGTAGGGAGCTGTCCATCTTGTAGGTAAAGCTTAAGACACTTGGGAGTTATTTACCCGGCTTCTCTGGCAGCCGGTACAATAATTTACTATCATGGTATGTGAACAGATCTTTAAGTAGGTCTATCCTGGGGACTGCAAACACTGCTTTATTTGCAGTGCAGCTCTGAGCCAATAAAAGAAACTCACTTCTAAAGAATCGTTCACCCTGGGGATTACAAGGTTGCTCTTGAATGTTAAAAAGATAGAACTTACAACAAAGGAATATGGCGGATAAAGGAAGATGGCAGATAGGGAAGCAGCTTTCAGGGGTAGCTAGGTAAGTGATCACATTGCTGTGAAATTGTCTAGCTTTACCAAGGGTGCAGTGGCGCACACCTGTAATCCCAGTGGCTCAGGAAGCTAAGGCAGGAGGATTAGGAGTTCAAAGCCAGCCTCAGCAACTTAGTGAGGCCCTAGGCAACTCAGGGAGGAGAACCTGTCTCTAAAATACAAAAACGGGCTGGGGATGTGGCTCAGTGGTTAAGTGCCTCTGGGTTCAATCCCTGGTACAAAATAATAATAATAATAATAATAATAATAATAATAATAATAATAATAATAATAAAAGAATTCTTGCTTTTCTTTAACTCTTTGGTAACAAGAATCTTTTCTGATGGTGGTTAATACAAAGGCCTCTTTATCACAAATAGCTGGCCTTTTTGGTTTGTGGAGCCAACACACCTGCTGATCTCAAGAATGTAAGCTCTCCTTGCAACTATGGTGGAGGCGGCCAGGGTTGTGGGAGAAGTGGCTCAATGTCAATAGCTATGCATCTAAGAGAGTGCCTAGGGCCTCAGCAAACACCAGGACTTTGGGAGGCCTTGTTGAAGTTTTCTGGTTCAGCAGATGCAGGGAGTGCCCAAACATTTATTTCCACAAGCTGCCCCCGATGAGGATGATGCTAGTCTGGGGTCAAACCTCTGAAAATCTTTGGCTCAGTCAGGGAGCATAGGGTTGCAGAGGCCTGTGACTAGCCTTCTGTTGGACCAACCTTTCCCACCAGCATGGCTCCCAGCACCTTATATAGATGGGAGCATGCCACCAGTACTTGGACCCTAAGTAAGGAAGACCATCTACAGGGGGGTGCTTGAGACCGAATGCCTGGGGAGGTCCTCAGCTTTTTTTTTTTTTTTTTTTTTTTTTGGTGCCATGGACTGAACTGAGGGGCACTCGACCCCTGAGCCACATTCCCAGCCCTATTTTGTATTTTATTTAGAGACAGGGTCTCACTGAGTTGTTTAGCACCTTGCTGTTGCTGAGGCTGGCTTTGAACTTGTGATCCTCCTGCCTCAGCCTCCCAGGCTGGGGATTACAGGTGTGCGCCATCGTGCCTGGAGAGGTCCTCAACTTGAAGTGGCTCTTCCTCCCAGGGGGCTTTCCTTCTCTGTCCACCCACTAACTTGGCCTTCTCTGCTTCTGCCCCAGACATGGAACCCCAGTAGATGCCAGGAGGACAGCCAGCCCATGAAGGAGAACTCCAGCTTTGAGGGGAGGGCACCTCTACTTTCCGCCATATATCCTCCTCTCTGGGGTTAGGCAACTTTTCCCAGGGCAAAAAGTCTTTTCCTAGAGAATCAGGCTGACATGTCATGGGGTCAGAGTTGAGAATGGAGCCCGTCCAGAGCCAGAGGGATGGAGGACCCTCGTCATGGGCCTGCCCCACCCCAATGTCAGCTTCCTTTACCCCATGGAAATGCGTGTGGACCAACATGTAAAGGCCACGGGGACTGTCCAGCCCATGAGGCTGGGGACCAGTGCTATGGGAGCACCGTGGCCTGGGCCTCCATCACCTTCAGCTGCTGATTTGTCCGCTTCAGGAACTGAATCTCCTCATTGTGCTTCTTTTCTTCCACCTGTCGCCGCTCGGTCTCCCGCTTCTCAGTGGCCTCACATTTTGCCTTTTGCTCGTTCACTTGCCTCTCCAAGTCTCTCTTTTCCATTTCCAGTTCTGCGATCTGAGGGCACAATACTCAGTCATCCTGGGATGTTGCCTATGGATGGGTGGTGTGAGAGCCTAGGTGGTGGGGACTTGAGACACCACAGCTGTCCAACCTGACATTGCCAGGGTATATACTGCCACCAAGTGGGAGGTCAGTGACTGGCATGGAGCATCCTCAGGGAGACCAGCAAGCCAAGACCATGTATGTGGCTGGCTGTTACACCCAAGCAAGGGTCCTCCCTGAATGACAGGTCCAGAGTCATGAATGTGAGGAGGGCACCCTAGTAGCCAGAATGCAGCGCGGCAATGACAACAGAGTGGCCTGGTATCAACAGAAGAGCCTGAGGGACAGGGGATATGGTAAACCCGACTCACTTTTTTCTCCATGTCTGACTTCCCCTGCTCAGCCTGCAGCGCCTTCCTCATGCCAAACGCCACGCTGCTCTCGTACAAGGTCTGGTAGGCAGCGATGGTCATGCGAATCTCGTCCCGGACTCGCAGTAGCAGCAGCCCCCTCTCTGCACAGTTGATGGTCACCTCCCGGATCAGCTCATCTTCCAATATGCACAGTGCAAGATCAGAGAAGGCAAGGGCAAGGGGACATGCACCTTGCCCATGGCAAGCCACCCTTCCTCTTGGAAGGGCCCTAAGGTGTGTCCTCATTTGGAGCTGAGGTCTCAGGGAAGGCCCTAATGTAGGGCACCTTCACTGGCCCAAGAGTCTGCCATGCAGCCACCCCGTTCCATTTAGCACAAGGAAAAGCACCCAGCCAGCAAGAAGGGGTTGGCCAACGCACAAGGAGCCTAGGAACCCCAGGTTTGTTTGTGGGTCCCCCTCAGCTAGAAACTGGGAACTAATGCAGAAATCTGACTTTTTCAGTGAGAAGATGGTGGCAATTTTAAAGCAGCCCCTTTGGCTGGACTGATCTGTGGCTGAGAACAGCAGGGTCTTAGAGCACACATAATCACCTTTTTTTAAAAAAAATAACTTTTATTTTTTTCATATTTATTTTTTAGAAGTAGTTGAACACAATACCTTTATTTTTATTTATTTTTATGTGGTGCTGAGGATCGAACCCAGGGCCTCACACGTGCTAGACGAGCACTCTACTGCTGAGCCACAACCCCAGCCCTTATTTTTAGCTCTTTATGTGGTGTGGAGAATCAAGCCCAGTGCCTTACACATGCTAGGCAAGTGGTCTGCCACTGAGCCACAACCCCAGCCCACATAATCTCCTTTATAAACATATAAAATCTTCTTTAAAAAGCTGGAGGGTCAACCACAATCATAGTAAGACTGAGAGGAGCTGCTCAAGCGTTTACAGGCAGTGTGCAGATTAGAATCCAGCCACTGGACACCTCAGGGTGGCAGATTTTAAATCCCTTGTGTCTACTGACGGACAACAAATTATTTTTGCAACATTTTTCTGGACTGAGTACTGAATGCTGATGGATATAAATACCAAACATTAATTTTTCTGATTAAAAAAATAGCTCAGTGGAACAGCACTTGCATAGCAAGCATGAGGATCTGGGTTTGACCCCCAGCATTATAAACAAAAACAAAACAACAACAACAAAAACATGTGCTTATTGTGACTATCTTTGAAAAGGCCAAGATTTAAAATGGAAGCTCTTATTTGACTCCAAATGTGTGAGAGATGAGGAAACCAGATCATCAGAGTACAGGGACTGGCAGGTGGGGGCCTGTTGGGACACTTGGCAGTTATTGGGTGGGTCAAGAAGGGTGAAAAGAGGTGATTTCAACATGGGATGGGCTTCAGCTCAGAGGTGCTCAGAGCCAGATCTGTGCTGAAGGGAAGGAAGGAGGTGGGGGTTGTGTGGTACCCACCCCCACCTTGCCCACTCACCAAAACACTGTGAGTAGAGCTCCCTGCGGACAGGGCAGATGCCCGTCTCCCTGGCTTGCCGCTGCTGCAGCTTCAGGTCCAGCTGCTCCTGGAGGTGCACCACGTCCATCCTGGTGCTGGGGGTGCTGGACACCTGCTGGATCCATAGCTGCGTGTCCTCCACCCACTCCCTGCGGCACAGACACAGCCACGCTGAGCAGAATCCACACGCTTGAGAGAGTTCTCAGGACATCAGCAGAGAGATCTCTTTGTGTTCTCAGCCTGAGCAGGAGTGAGGGGCAACTCTGCCACCATCCCACCAGAATCCCTCACTCCACTCCTGTGGTGTGGGTTCCAAAACCATACTTGCTTTGCTGCCCCACAGAAAAGGATCTGGGGAACAGGGCAACGTCTACTCCCCAGGTGGTCTTCATGAAATCATCACCACTGCTGCAGATTTTACTCTCCTAACATGATTTACATTGTGTTGCCTGATCTGTGTGGAAGGCCCAGTGGAACTCTCCACTGACTTAAGGAGTAAGAGACACAAGATTCCATAAACCTTGTGCAAGCCAGAAAGAGGCAAGTGTGTGTGCAGGGGCTGGGGAGGATCTTGACGGGGTGTGCCTGCATGGGCTCTCCATGGGGAACTTCATGGTGGAGTAACAACCAGGGTCTGGAATCACCACACAGGAGATGTGGCGGAGAGAACTTCGGTGCCACTGGTGGGAGAGGATCAGCTGACACATCACTTCCCTCCATTGACCTCCTTCTCAGAGGAGATGGATCTCTGTTTGCCTGTTTCCTCTTTTCATCAAAGCCTTAAAAACTGCTGTCAATATGTTACATAAGAACAATACATTACATAAGAACAGTTGAGGGGCTGGAGATATAGCTCAGTGGTAGAGTGCTTGCCTCCCATGCACAAGGCCCTGGGTTCAATCCCCAGCACCATAAAAAACAAACAAACAAAACCCAGGAAGGCTTCACCTGGAAGAAATGATATTTCTTCTGAGAGAAGAAATGAAGGGAATAGTAAAGGAAGAGTATCCTTGGAAGTGAGAACAGCAATTGTTAAGGCCCTGGGGTGGGAGAGTGATTGAAGTGCTTCAGAAAGGCAAGTGGAGACCCCTGGGGCAGTGAACAGGAGAGAAGATGAGGGATATCATGGGCCAGGCCATTCTACATCTTCGAAGCTACTGTAAGGACTTCGGACTTTACTCTGAGTGAGGTAGGAGGTCATTACAGGTGGAAGACTTGGCCTGATCCGATTTATGTGGAGAACACTGTAGAAGCAAAGAGTGGAAATAGGGTTTTTAAACAGGCCATAGCAAGTAGTATGGGTGACAGAGACCAGGGACAGATGGCAGAAAAACTTGGTGAAAAGTGGTTGGCCCAGGGAGATAAATTGAAGGTGAGTCAAAAGAATTTCTTGAAGGATAGGACAGATGGCGTGAGAGACCAAAAGCATTGAAAGGCAACTGTGTCTCTAGCAGAAAGAAGACTGAGATGGGGCAGTGGGAAGAGGAAGAAACTGTGGTTTCATTTGGACATGTTGAACTTGAGATGCCTATGGGACAACTTGGTGAAGGCACTGAGGAAGAAGTAGACTATATTGTCTGGAATTTAAGAGAGAGGACAGGGCCGAAAATACACATTTGGGATCCATCAGTATACAGATGGCATCTAAAGCCATCAAACTGGCTGAGAACATTCAGGGTAGATTTAAGGTTTCCCACCACCCTCCCAGAATCCAGCCATGTGCAAGTTCTAGGAGCTCTAAGAGGCAGGAAGGAGATCCCAGCCAGGAACTAAGGCAAAGTGCCTCTCCCTGCATTTCTAAATATTCTGGGATATAAAAGCCTGGGCCTTCTCCCAGTTATTGCTCATTTTTTTTTTTTTTTACCTTGGGGGCAGGATGGCATTCAAGATTTCTTCTGCCTGCTTTGTAGGATCTGGGATACAGGAAGTTGAGGGGAGCTTGGCTTTGGGCGGCTGTGGGACTGGACCTGAGGGTCCAGGCTGCTGGGGGCTGACTTTCAGAGGCCGAGCCTAAGAGGAAGGAACACGAGATATTTCAGGGATTCAGCTCCACAAAGCCTGGTCCTCTGGATTGCTCCAGGTCTTCTGCCAGTCTCTCCATCCCAGCCTACTTTTCTCATCTGTCTGCTCAGCAGAAATGTCTGAGCTGAAGCCAGCCATGAAGAGTCTCTGGTCCCAGCCCAATGATTGAACTGATGTTTCTGGCTCAAGTGGTCTGTCACTGCTATAGTGATGGAAAATCACTGCCTGATCTACTCTTGAACCCAGCTACCATGAATAACAGCCAGCTTCATCCATTTCCTTGTGACTTCTTTCTCATTCTAAATCTCTGCTCCTAGGGTCACACCCAACATTTGGGCCTTCTCTAGTGGTACTGGGGATTGAACCCAGGGTCTCATGTATGCTAGCCAATTGCTCTACCACTGAGCTACATCCTCAGCCCCATCGGGCTTCTTGCACCGCAATTCCACCCCTCTTCCCTGACCCAATTCCCTTTGCTGCCAGTCTCTACAATTCTTGTCCCTTGGGGTTCCCGACCTTCGGCTCTGAGATCTGTCTTTCCCCGTTGAAGCTTTCAGGTCCCCCATCCCCTGAAACCCGTCCTTACTTTGGGGCTCCGTTTCTCAGTGTTCCGGCTCACCAACACCGGGGTATCATACTTGAGCAGAGAGTCAGCAGGGGGAATCATGCCGGCGGCTGGGACTGCGGCTCAGCAGCTGGCCCTCTAGTCCGGGCCTTGTTTACGGTCACCACGGAAACCCCCTGGCCGGGGCGGGGCTTCCGAGTGGGGCGGGGCCATCAGCGCGCGGATTTCATTCCAAACAGCCGGCTTCAAACCTCCTGTTCTTGGCTTCCCAGGCCTCCTGTTCATTGGTTCGTCCTGTACTTTCGGGAGCAGGGAAAACAAGGTTCAAGTTCCTACACTGGGTCTAGTTTGCTATTTGAATGGGTTGGAGGGAACACTTTTGCTGAACCTCAGTTTTGACTACTGCAAAATGGGAGTCATCTCCTGACCCCTGAGTAAAGGGTTGGGGACGATTTCCGAAGAAGACATCGAGCATTTCCAGGTTTAAAAAAGTATTTTTTAAAATTAAATGGAGTCGTGCGTTCGAGGCCAGCCCCACCAAATTAGTGAGGCCCTAAGCAATTTAGACCATGTCTCAAAATAAAGAATAAAAAGTGCTGAGGGGGCTTGGGTTGGGCTCAGTGATAAGCGCCCTTGCCTAGCATGTGTGAGGCACTGGGTTAGATTCTCAGCACCACATACAAATAAATAGAATAAAAGTCCAACAACAACTAAAAAGTATTTTTTTAAAAAAGTGCTGGGGGTGTAACTCAGGGGTAGAATGTTTGCCTTGCATACACGAGGCCCTGAGTTCAGTCCCCAATACGGAAAAAAGTAAATAAATAAATGGAGAAATGACAGTTTCACATAAAGTTGAGGAAATAGAGGGAAAATATGCTAGTGATTTGCCCATGTGCTACCACATATGATTGCATTTCCATCTCTTCATTCCTTCATATTTCCAAATGCCAAAGTAATCGCAGTTTAAGCACAATCTTGTATCCTGCTTTTTCGTCTAAAAGTCAGGTTTTAGGGTTAGGGGCGTAGCTCAGTGGTAGAGCTTCCCCAGTATGCGGGAGATCCTAGTTTTGAACCCCTGTCACAAAATTAAATTTTTTTTATTTGCCATAGTTTGCAAATAGTATACTAATAACCACATTCCATCCAATAATCGACTAAATGATTCACTATTGCCATGCATTTGGGTTATCTCCATTTACAATTACAAATAACAGAGCAACAAAAAGCCTTGGAAAGTGAAAAAACCCAGAAGTTTGCTTCCCCCCCCCAAGAGTAGAAATAGCTTTATTGATTTATGCATACTATTATAATGAATTTCAAACGTAGAAACAGAAATAATAACAGTGGCCAAAATTTACTAAGCCTTTAAAACTGTGCCAACAATTATATGCTGACAGTTCAGTTTTCGTTATGAAATATAAAGGGCTGGGGGTGTAACTTGGAGGTGGAGCGCCAAGGTCTACCTATGAAGTAGTCACAAGTTTGCTTTTGAAACTTAAAATTCCCGCCTCCCGAGATGGGCCAATTGCGGTCCCGCCCAAGAAGGAATCGTCACGTGCTCAGCTTCTCCGCCGCGAGGGCTTCTGGGAGAGTGCGCACCCGGAAGCGGAAGTTCGGTGGCCAAATTCGTCATTTCCTTCAGGGAGAAGAGCTCAACGTACCTCTTTCCTTTTGCTCAACCAAACTCGCAGAATGAAGGAGGTGAAGAGCGAGAGGGAGCGAGGAAGCCGGCGAAGGCACCGGGATGGGGACGTGGTGGCGGCAGCGACGGTGGTGGTGAAGCAGGAGCGCCTCAGCCCGGAAGCCGCGCCTCCAATCCACCGCCGTTCGGACTTCTCCGGCGGCAGCCCGTCCCCACCGCCCGGCGAGGCCGGCCGCCCCGGCCACCGTGGGAACCGAGCCCGAGGAGTTAGCCGGTACGTGGGAAGCAGCCCGAGTGGACCTTGGGTCGAGCTGATGGAGAAAGGAAGGCAGAGCTAACGTCAAAAATAGGCCTCGAATGCCGAGCGCAGCAGCCTGGGCTTAATGCTGAGACATTGGGAGTGACCCCGAGGTGCCCGTGTTAAAGAATGTTTACTCCAGCACCGGTCACTTGCATTGTAGCTGGATGTTGAGAGTCTAAAGCTTATTACGGGTAGGGTCCCGCCCCTTCATTCTTGTGTCCCCAGCACTTAGTACAGTACGGCCCAGCGGGTAGCACTGGTCGTCCGAGTTGAATGTCTCCCCATCTGCACAAGAATGGAGTGCAGGTGGTGTCTTTCCAATTACCTGCCCCAAAAGATTGATAGGATTGATCCAGAATCTTGGCAGGGGAAACAACATGGGCAAAGAACCTAAAGTAGAATTGTCATTGTCTTAGAAGCTAGGGGGAAAAATGTATTTGGAGTCTAGTGATTGAAGCAGATAGAGTGTTAAGGAGGAGGCAGAGCACAGGACTTGTGATTATTGGGGAAGGCAGGGTGTTGGTGGTGAGGAAAAAAACAAAGAGGCCAAGAGCAGCTTCTGGATGGTGGTACCAATTAGAGAGATGACACACACTCTGAGAAGAAAGGTTTTTGAGGGTTGAGAATCAAGAGTTATGTTACCCACATGAGAAAGTTCAGTTAGCAGTTAGTTATATATGAGTGTCTGGAACTCAAGGGAGATATCAGGGCTGGGAAAATGAAGCCTCTGACTCCATTGGAGCTCAGCAGAGATCTTCACAAATGTGGTGTTTGTGTTTAGTTGGTAAGCCTGATATTTAAAGCTAACTTATGTGGGGGAAGGGAAATTGAGATAAAATCCTGTGTGTACCATGCTCTGAAAAGGTCCCCAGCCAAAAAGAAAAACAAGTCTTCAGGGAGAAGAAGCAAGTCTCCTCGGAATAAGAGAAGCCGAAGTCCTCATCACTCAACAGTCAAAGTGAAGCAGGTAAGGGGATTGGGTGTTTTGATAATTTGTCCAAATCTAGAGTCACTTCACTTGCCATCTAGCTAAAGTGTATATGTGTGTGTTCTGCAGTGGGCTTCTAAAAGCTGGGTGTGTTTGCTTTATTTTTTTTTTCTGCTTGTTTTTTTAAATTAGCTTTTTGTTTTGAGTAATTGTTCATTTACATGTTTTGGTTATATTTGTCACAATTAATAGAAAGGTGTACTCTACCTTGTTTTTGCTAATAGTAAAATCTTTCAGAGCTATAGTTCAGTATCACAATTGGAATTTTGTTGATACAGTCAAGATACAGCATATTTCTATCACCCTGGTATTGTCCTTTTGTAACCACACCCATTTCTTTCACAGTTTTATCTTTATTTAACTCCAGGAGGCTTCTAATCTCTTCCGGAGGCTGCTAATCTGTTTTCCATTTCTATACTTTCGTTATTTCAGGAGTGTTACATAGGAACTGGGGTAGAGCACCGTGTGTGTGTGTGTGTGTGTGTGTGTGTGTGTGTGTGTGTGTGTCAGTCACTAGGTTCAATCCTTAGCACCATATAAAAATAAATAAATATGGGGCTGGGGATGTGGCTCAAGTGGTAGCGCGCTCGCCTGGCATGCGTGCAGCCCGGGTTCTATCCTCAACACCACATACAAACAAAGATGTTGTTGTGTCCGCCAAAAACTAAAAAATAAATATTAAAAATTCAAAAATAAATAAATAAAGATAGATATTGTGTCCATCTACACTAAAAAATATTTTTTTAAAAAGAGTGTTACATAGATAGAATCATATGGTATGTGACCTTTGAGATTAGATTTTTTTCATTCAACAAAGTTCTTTGGATTTCATTCAGGTTGTTGCATCCATCAGTAGTTTCTTCATTCCTTTTTACTGCTGAATAGTATTCAGTGGTATGGATTTAGCCATTTGCCTGTTAAAAAAAAACAGGTGCTTTTCAGTTTGGGGCTGTTAAACATATAGCTGCTGTCTGATCATTTGTGTATAGGTTTTTCTGGGAACATTTCATTTCTCTGGATTAAATGCCTACAAATGAATTGCTGAATTAAATGGTAGTTGCATTTTTAATTTCTTAAGAATTGCCAAATGGTTTTTCTGGAGTGATTATTAATTTGCCAAAGCTGCCATAAAAATATCATAGACTAGGTGGCTTAAATAATAGATTTATTTTCTCATTGTTCTGCAAGCCAGAAGTCCTAGATTGAGGTCAGCAGATTTAGTTTCTTCTGAGACTTTTCTCCTTGGTTTACAGATGGCTGCCTTCTTGATGTGTCCTCACACAACCTTTCTTCTGCACAGACTTACCTGTTGTCTGGTTTTTTTTTTTTTTTTTTTTTCTTTTTCTTTTTGTGTGTGTGAGTTGCTGGGGATTGAACCCAGGGCCTTGTGCCTGCGAGGCAAGAACTCTACCAACTGAGGTATATCTCCAGCCCATGTTGTCTATCCTTAAAAAGGACACCAGCCATATTGGATCAGGGACCCACAACACCCACTTTTTAACCACACGCACTTCTTTCACAGTTTTATCTTTATTTAACTCATGGAGTTAAATAAAGTTTGTTAATTATTATGAAATACAGTTTAACTTAATCATGTATTTCCAGACCTCATGGGCTCCCAGGTATAGGAATTAGTTTTAGATAGCAAAACAGATAGTTCATTTTTGGTACCAGGAATGGGGGGAGGGAAGATAGAATATATGTGTGTAGGTACTGTTGGATAGATGGATGAGGGAAGATCTGACTCTAAGGAAGGGATGGGGAAGAGTTGTTGGAGACTGAGGAGAGAGAAGGAGTGAAATAGTAATTAAGGGAAATTAATGGATCAGAAAAAGATAGGGTAGTTGCTGAACATCCTTAAAAGAGGCTTGAGTTGGGGGCAGGGAGCAAGATGTATGCATAAGTAAGCAGTCTTGCTTAACTCTGGTCTAGTTGATCATTCTTTCTGTTCTGGTTCTAGGAAGTGGCTCTGGAGAAGTCCTTATCACCTGATGGGGCAGTCTTCATTTTCTGGCTTTGTATGTTTGCCAGTCAGATTTGTGATCCTGAAAGGGGGCATTTTGGTTTCCATTATATGATTGCTCCTGCTTGGTTGGGGGGCAGTCTTATCATGGGACAATGTGTCTGCAAGGCTCCACTGTTCTTAGAAGGTGTAGAGGAATGAATAAGGACTTGTAGATGCTACTACAGGGGTCTGAAACAGCATGCTATATTGTCCCTATAGATCTTGCATGTGTCTTGAAGGAGGACAAGATAGGTAAGGTATAGGGATGATAAACCTTGTATTGTTAGTTTTGGATTGAACACTCCATAAGTGTTTCATATGCCTATGTGCAGAGCAGCAGGAAACTTTACTCAGAGTAAAGTTTAAATTAATAGAGGAGACAGATAATGAAGGTAAAGATGCCAGGCTTTATCCTGCTTTTAGTTACACATTGGGCATCTGCAAGCCTTAGAGTCTCTGCTTTTAGCAAAGGCAGCCTCTCTAAGTCACTCTTATATTGGGATCAGAGTGGATTTGATTTGATTTGATTTGATTTTTTTTATTAGATTTTCAGCCATATTTATTTATTGGTGATGGTTGTGGTTTTGCCAAGAGAGTACAACAGAACGGCATGGGGACAAGAAATTTCAGTGTGCATGCAAGGGAGTGGCCATACTGCTTGGCTGTGGAGCTTAATGGTAGGCTAGAAGGGAGTTTAGAGGTGGGAGACTTGTGCATAGGTGATAGAATCAAAGGATTGGCTTGCTGGGATAAGAGCCATTGGAGTTGGGATAAAATGTGAGCTGGAAAGAATAATGGTGGCCAGAAAGAAGGTTCCTTGAAATTAAGATTATAGTGGGGTTCAAGTTGCTAGAAATGAAAAAGGTCTATTGACAAGAGAATAGGTGACTGAGGTGAAGGAGAGACAATTGGCATCCTTGGAAGAGAGGAACTCACTGCCTATGTGTTACCCAAGTCACTGAGGCTAATGTTGGTTGGAGAGGGTTCGAGTAGTGGGTGATAATCATCTGTGAGATTCAGAACTGGGGGTTTGGGACAGGCGTGGTAGCACATGCCTGTAATCCAAGCTGCTCCGGAGGCTGAGTCAGGAGGAGCAAGTTCAAAAACCAGCCTCAGCAACGGTGAGGCACTTGGCAACTCAGTGAGACCCTGTTTCTAAATGAAATACAAAATAGGGCTGGGGATGTGGCTCGGTGGTTGAGTGTCCCTGAGTTCAATCCCCAGTACCAAAAGAAAGAAAGAAAGAACTGGGGTTTGGGGGTAGAGAGGAGGGTTTGGGTTGTGTATTGCATTGGCAAGGAAGATACCTGACTTATATCCAGGCCCAGAGATGGTGTAGGAAGGAGGAGGGGTTGGGTGGGGGGAACTACTGCCATTTGAGAGCTGTAGGGGAGCACTGTCCTTAGAGCTGAGGGAGGGTTCTCTTTGAGCAAAAGGTGAAGGGAACAGAGAAAACATTGAGAATGTAGGTTTTGCTGAGCTTTATGTTCTAGGGAGCATAGTGCAGTGCAGTGGTTTCAGGAGTTAAAAAAGGGTGGGATTTGAACAGAGTATTGGAAGTATAGAGCCTTGTGGGAATATAGAATGCAAGGAGGTGGGTATATATGTATAATAAGAATTATTAAAAAGAAAAAGAAAAAAGAAGAAGAATGCAAGGAGATGGGGTTGATGCTCTCTCTTTATTTTGTTTGTTTATTTTTATGTGGTGCTGAGGATCCAACCCAGTGCCTCACACATGCAAGGCAAGCGCTCTACCTCTGAGCTACAACCCTAGCCTGCATCCTAGCCCTTTTTATTTGTTAAGTCAAGGTCTTGCTAAATTGCTTAGGCCTTGCTAAGGCTGGCTTTGAACTTGAGATTCTCTTGCATTAGCCTTCTGAGCCACTGGGATTACAGGCATGCACCACCACACCCAGCTAGTGACTGATACTTGTGAAAATCAGGGATAATGGGGTATTGTGGTGTATTCCTGTAATCCCAGTGACTTGGGAGACTGAGGTAGAAAGATGGCAAGTTTGAGGTTAGCCTAAGCAATTTAGTGAGACCCTGTCTCAAAAAATAAACAGGGCTTGGGATGCAGCTCATTGGTAAAGTGTTCCTGGGATCAATCCCCAGTACAACAACAACAACATCATCATCATCATCATCATCAATTAAATGAAATCAGACATAAAGAACATAAAAGATTAGTTCTGGTGAACTCAAGGCAGGTACCACCTTGAATAATGTTTGTAGGTATGATGGGGATCGGTGTTTGGGTATACCTCTGAATACTTATTTTTAGAGGCTAGGTAATCCAGAGAAACTTACTCTGAGCATTCAGGGTACATTTGATCCCTCTTTGTGCTAGAGAGAAGGACTTGGGGTGGGGAGAGACCTTTTGCTGCAGTACTCAGAAGTTCCTCCTCACCCTCTCCTGAGGTCATAGCTTTGCTCACATTGTTCAGGGTTCTGTCCCTCTTGACTCTGGACATGTTTAACATCTGGGGAAACCAGGACATCAGAATGATTATGACCATGCCTTCCCTACCCTCCTTGTTCCCTGATGATAGGGAGACTTCTTTTTATTCTTTTGCTTCCAAAAAACTCCCTGACCCCCAAAAAAGGGTCTTTTTGCTTTGATGTTTTGCAGCGTGGTTACCATGTACCTAAACAGCAATTTTTTTTTCCCTTTTGGTACTGGGAATTAAACCCTGGGTGCTTTACCACTGAGCTATATTCACAGTCCTATTTATTTATTATTTTGAGTCAGGGTCTTACTTAGTTGCGGAGGCTGGCCTTGAACTTGTGATCCTTCCACCTCAGCTTCCCAGGTCATTGGGATTATAAACAGTATCGCCATCCTAGAGGCAAATTTCTTTTTGTTCACCCACTTCAGGATTTTAAAAGCTCTGCTTGCTTCTTTTTCCTTTTTTTTTTTTTTTTTCCTTTGGAGGTACAAGATTTTGAACATGTGTAGGCAAATGCTCTGCCACTGAGTTACATCCCCAGCCCTTATCTGGGTATTTTTGTTTAACTTTTTATTGAGAAAAATATAAAGCATATTTAATGAACCTTCACGTATCTGTCACTTAGCTTAAATAATTATAAGTAGTCAGCATACCATGTCTATTGCTATCCACTTCCTTCTTTGCCCTGGATTGATTGTTTTAAAGCAAGTTCTGGATGTACCATTCCATCTGTAAATATTTTAAGCACATGTCCCTAAAAGATGAGGATTTAAAAAAAAAAAAATAATGATAACCACAAATCCATTATCCCACCTAATGTTTTATTTGCTTGTTTATTTTTCACTATTGGGGTTTGAACGCAGCAGTGCTGTACCACTGAGCTACAACCCCCACCCCATTTTATTTTTGTTTGAGAAGAGGTCTTGCTAATTTGCCCACACTGGCCTCAAATTTGCAATCCTCCTGCATCAACCACTTGAGTCACTGGGATTACAGATGTGTACCATTCTGCCCAGTTTAAGTATTCTAATTTTGGGAAAGATGTAAAATTCACTCTTAACTTTTTAAAGTATCCAATTACTAGTATTAAATACATTCCCATTGTCGTGTAGCCATCAGCGTCATCCATCTCTAGAACTCTTTTTCATCTTGTAAAACTCTGTACTAACTAAACAATAATTCCTCTCTCTCCCCAGCCCCTGGTAACCACCATTCTACTTTCTGTCTTTATAAATATGACTACTACAGGCAACTCTCATAAGGAGACTGATGTATTATTTGTCGTTCTGGGTCTGGCTTATTTTACTTAGAATAATATCCTCATGATTTGTCCATCTTGTAGCATGTGTCAGAATTTCCTTTTTAGGGGCTGGGGATGTGGCTCAAGCGGTAGCGCGCTCGCCTGGCATGCGTGCGGCCCGGGTTCGATCCTCAGCACCACATATAAACAAAGATGTTGTGTCTGCCGATAACTAAAAAATAAATATTAAAAAAAAAAAAAGAATTTCCTTTTTAGGGTTAAATAATCTTACATTGTATGTATATACCACATTTTGTTTGTCCATCTATGGATGGTGTGCGTTACTTTTACCTTTAGGCTATTGTGAATTATGTTGCTGAGTTCAAAAGGATTGAACCACATGTACAAATAACTTTTTTTTTTTGTACCCCCTAGTTCAATCCTTTTGAACTCAGAGGCACTCGACCACTGAGCCACATCCCTAACCCTGTTTTTATTTTATTTAGAGACAGAGTCTCACTGAGTTGCTTAGCACCTTGCTTTTGCTGAGGCTGGCTATGAACTCGTGATCCTCCTGCCTCAGCCTCCCAAGCTGTTGGGATTACAGACGTACCCACCACGCCTGCCTACCAATAACTGTTTGAGATCCTGTTTTCATTTTTTTTTTTTTAAATACCGGCGATTGAACCCAGGGGCGCTTAACCACTGAGCCATATCCTCAGCACTTTTTTATTTTTGGTTTTGAGACACTTTTTTATTTTTGGTTAACAAGACAGGGTCTTGTTAAGTTGCTTAGGGCCTCCCTAAGTTGCTGAGGCTGGCTTTGAATTTGATCATCCTGCCTCAGCCTCCTGAGTTGCTGGGAATACAGGCATGCACCACCCTGCCCAGATCATTTCTTTTCTACATACCCAGAAATGAAATTACTGAATCATATAATGGTTTTTAAATTTTTTGCAGACCACCATTTTGTTTGGCTATAGCATTTTACATTCCTCTCAGTAGTACATAAGGGTTCCAGTCTTTCTGTGTTTTCACCAATAGTTGTTATTTTCTGGTTCTCCTCAACCTCCATCCCTGTGCTGGGATTGAACCTAGGGCTTTCTGGCTGTTTAAAAATTGTTGACTTTAATCATTTGTAATCCCTCCCTATCTCCCTTTTTTCCTTCTTTCCCATGTTGGGGAAAAAACACCAAACTCAGGGCCCCACGCATGCTAGGCAAGTGCTCTACCACTGAGCTACATCCCTAACTGTTTTTATTTTATATTGAGACAGGGTCTAGCTGAGTTGCTTAGGCTGGTCTCAAACTTGTAAAACTCTTGCCTCAGCTTCCTGGGTTCTGGGATTACAGGCATGTGCCACCATGCCCAACTGCAAACATTTTTATACATAAATATGCTTTATATTCTATATCTTACTAGTACAGTGTCTGAAGTCCTTGGGGATCTAAATCTATAGGAGTTGTTTCTGTTGTTCCTCATAAACATAGGCTTGTTTCTTTGTGTGTCTAGTGCTTTTTAATTTTTGAGCTTATGTTTAGTTGATTCCCCCTCCCAAAGATTTTCCCTTGCTTTCTGTGAGTTTAACAATGTTTTATCTGATATTTAGTTGAATTGTAGTGGGAATACCCCTCTAAGTATCTTTCCTGCTGAGTGGAGATTTTTCTATATATTGTAAAACTTATCCCCTTCTCTTTTATTTTAGGTATACTCTTTTGGGGGTGGGGAGGGTATTGGGGATTGGACCCAGGGGCTCTTAACCACTGAGCCACATCCCCAGTCCTTTTTTTTTGTACATGGGTCTTGCTAAGTTACTGAGGCTGGCTTTGAACTTGGGATCTTTCTATTTCAACCTCCCAAGCTATCTCCTTTTTTTAATAACTCTGAAGTAACCCTTTGTATGAATATATAGTCAATTTATTTAACCATTTTATTGTTGTCTTCAGTTTTTATTACTACAAATAAGATTGCAGTAAGCATCCTTACATATTTATCTTTGTGCATTTTTGCCTGGTATTTCTATAAAATAGATTGCTGTGAGTTGGATTACTGGTTGGTGAAATCAATATTGAATACTGCAGTATTGCCCTAACTGGGTTTGCAATCGCAGTGACTGAGGATATCCCATTTTCTTTTTTTTGTCACTAGCTATTATCTTTTTATGATCTTTTTAAATGAGCTTTTTAATTTTGCTGATCTAAGAAAATTCATATTACTTTTAGAACTTTTGTTGTTTGGTTATTAGTGAGGATAAACATCTCTTCAAGTATTTATTAGACATTTCATCTGAAAATTGCTTTTTTTATGCCCATTTTTCTATTGAACTTATTGTTTATTTTTAATTGTATATTAATATATGGGACCTGTGGTGAACATTTTCTGGCAGGCTGTTTTTCAACACTTGTTTTTCATGAAATTATGGTATGTTTATCCATTTTTTTCAGGTCTTTAATACATTTTTATAGATTTCTTTTATCTTTCATGTTTCTTAAGCTTATTCTTCAATATTGAGTAATTTTTATTACTGCTGAAGTAGGATTTTTGAAAAATTAACTATTATGGTTTCATTTTTGGCAGAAGAGAAAGGTAGTGTTTTCTTTTTTGAATCCTGGATATGTTATTTAATTCTTTGTTCCATTTTCTGTATATGCTTCCCTGCAGGTTTGCCTGTAGTTAAGCATATTCTGAAAGGGTATTACTTTTTCTTCTCTGTATATGAATTAATCTCTTGATTTTAGGACTGTAGCCATGAATTTGTGCTGTTAGGGTTGTAGTTGAGCAGCAGCATGGCCTCGTGAGGGAACATAACCACCACACTGACTGCCAAAATCCAGAAGACAAATGACTTTTTGAATGCAGCTTTTTAAAAAATAAATTGTGGACTGCCTTTGATTTATTGAGTCCTTTTGAATTTTAGGAGCGGGAGGATCATCCCCGGAGAGGACGGGAGGATCGGCAGCACCGTGAACCATCAGAACAGGAACACAGGAGAGCTAGGAACAGTGACCGAGACAGACACCGGGGCCATTCCCGGCAAAGGAGAAGTTCTGATGAGAGGCCTGGGAGCGGGCAGGCCTCTGGACGGGATCGGGACAGCCAAAACCTGCAGGCTCAGGAGGAAGAGCGGGAGTTTTATAATGCTAGGCGCCGGGAGCATCGCCAGAAGAATGAAATCAGTGGCAGTGCTAATGAGGCTCAGGAGGTGATTCCTCGACCTGGTGGCAATAATAAAGACAAAGAGGTGCCTGCTAAAGAAAAACCAAGCTTTGAACTTTCTGGTGCACTTCTTGAGGACACCAACACCTTCCGGGGTGTAGTCATTAAATACAGTGAGCCCCCAGAAGCTCGTATCCCCAAAAAACGATGGCGTCTCTACCCCTTTAAAAATGATGAGGTACTTCCAGTCATGTATATCCATCGACAAAGTGCCTACCTTTTGGGTCGACACCGCCGCATTGCAGACATTCCAATTGATCATCCCTCGTGTTCAAAGCAACATGCAGTCTTTCAGTATCGGTAGGTATGCCTTCAGAGGAAGAACCTGAAATGCCAGCAGAAACCGAATAGCTTCCTTAGTTAGGATTACTAAGATTTGCATCATGTATTTGCAGAAGAATCCAGTACCCCTCATGTCTAATATTAATTACCTTTCCCCCCTTGCATCCTGCCATGCTGGGAGTAGACCTAGGGCCCCATGCATGCTAGGCAAGTGCTCTACCACTGAGCTGCGTCCCCAGCCCTAATGTTAATTTTAAAGAATACTGTAAATCTAAATGCACATTTACTAATTGCTTATATGTGTAGAAGAGCTTGATCCTGGTATCAGAAACCCAGATTTAAAATTCTGTCATTGCCAGTTACAAGTATTTGACCTTGGGCAAGCTTCTCTCAGGGCCTGTTTCCATCTTCCCTACAGGGCTGTTATGAGGTTTAAATGGAAATATACCAAAAAATGCCTGGCATATATGTTACTTAAATCTGCATCTTAATAGCTTGCATAGTGTATCTGTGACCATTTGATTCTCAGAACAATCCTGTGAGGAAGATAGGATCAGTATTAATATCTCCATCTGACAGATGAGAAAGCTAAAGCTCAGCAAAGCCAGGTGACTTCCTAATAAATAATTGCCATAATAGAACTCTGGCTCAAGTTTGGCTTGACTTTGAAGTCCAAGGCCATAGTTTTCTCTATTTGGAATGAAGCTAAAACATCAAAATATAGGTGTAAGAAGCATTTTATTGATTAGAAACAACAGGGAAAAAAAATTTTCTTTTTCATGGCAAAAGACTTGAATTCTGCATTTCAAACTTTTGATCTACCCCCCAAGAATGAACCCAAATGTACATTCTTACCTTTCTACTAAGTATATTTAAGCTGCTCCCAATTTCCCTATCCAAGGCAATGCTTTCCCCCTTAGTTTCCTAAAGTTTTAACTTGAATCATGTTTCCGCCAGGTTATTGACATCATTAGCTCTAGAGAAGGCTAGATGATCTGAGGCAGGATTTTCCTCATAGGCTGTCTCCTTTCTCTCTTGCTAGGCTTGTGGAGTACACCCGTGCTGATGGCACAATTGGCCGAAGGGTGAAGCCCTACATCATTGACCTTGGCTCAGGCAATGGAACCTTCTTGAACAACAAGCGCATTGAGCCACAGAGATATTATGAACTGAAAGAAAAGGATGTGCTTAAATTTGGATTCAGCAGCAGAGAGTATGTCTTGCTTCATGAGTCATCAGATACCTCTGAACTAGACAGAAAGGAAGATGAAGATGACGAGGAGGAGGAGGAAATAGTGTCTGACAGCTAGCAAACTTAACCAAACCATTGAGACATTTTTCCTTCTTGGAAGACTTTAGGATTGCCTCAAAGAGCACAGTGGTGCTCTCTGTAATGCCTTTTATTGCCTTAAGTCTTTCCTGTGTTGCTGACCAGCTTATTTTACAGTGTAAGAACACTGACTTAGGTTTTGTTGAACTTTTTTCTGTGGCACATCAGCCACGTGTCTGTGCCATTTGTTTTCAGAAGAGTCTTACCGATTACAACACATCGTTTTAGTAGAAGCATTGTGGCTTTAGTTGGTGCTTTCAGAACTGCTGCTTAGGAAACTAACCCTTATTTGAAGGGGAGTCATGGCTTGTTCTCTTTGTATAGTTACTTTATTATTTATTTAGTTGTTAAGCTTTGTGGACCAGGAGTTTTTGTTTGGGGGCAAACCCCTAAACAGAATCTTAATAAGCTTTGGTTGTCACCAAAACAGCCTCCACCAAAGCTTTGACCTGGTTGAGCTCTTGAGTCATAGAAGTTGATTTTGCACTTAGCTTTTTTGGGGGGTGGGAGAGGAGGGGGTTTACCGTGTGACCTCATTAGTGACTGTTTAACTTAAACAGATGCTTTATGGCACCTGCTTAAGTACATGACTATACAGGAAGATCATGGCTACTACCAACGGGTGCTGATTTAATATCATGAGAGGCTGAAATGCATTGTGGATCTGTTTCTTAAGAGAAAATTCCTGATTTCTTTATAGAACATGTATATAACAATTTTGATCATCTTGTCTGTTCTAAAGTTTGCGTTTTTGTTCAAATGTTGTTTCCCTTTTTTTTCCCTTTGAGTAATAACACTGTTGCTAATGTGGCAGGATCCTTATTCTAACAACATGTATATATGTCTAAAGGAGATTGTGTAGCTTACATGTTTCTACACATTTCATCCTTAAAAAAATTGTTCAAAGGTTGTATTTACCATCCAAATCTGGAAATCAAGGGGACTGTCCAGTTTCCAAATTTTCTACCAGAGGACTATGTGTAAGTAGGAAAAAAGTCTTTAACTACTTACATATAGTTTGTGTATGTGTGTGTGTGTGTATGTATGTGTGTGTGTGTATATATATACACACACACACACAAATTGTGTTAAAGAGCTGTGTACCAATTTTCATAAGACAATGTTTTGTGATATAAATGTAATACCACATGATAGGCAAAGGCCTCCCTGCATTTGAAGAGCAGGTTTTTGTTTATATGTATTTTTGGGATAAAAAATAAAATTTGTAAATATAGCCCCATTTCAAAGGGTAATACTTTCCTAGCATAGAGGGCTGTGTGTATATAGGTATGTTTGCTGCTGAAGGAGTCTTTGTATCCAGTGTTTTTAAGGTAAAAATAGGTAGTCTTGTTGAGTGCCACTGAGAGAGACCAGGAACTAGTGAAGAAAGGACCTACATCTGCCCTGGAATCCAGTCTTCAGATCACAGTGAGTGAATATTGGTTACCTTGAAGCAACGGTGCTTTTCTGAACTGGCAGTGAAGTATTCAGAACTTAAGGCAGGTTAGGTGTAATTGGCCTTTCACACAGTGAAACACCATCTCTACCATTTCGTCCTCACATGATGGGGGTGCTGGGCAAAAGGAGATGCAGCTCACTCAGTGCTGCTCTTGACTCTCCTAGGTTGAAACTTAGGCTGCTGTTGAGTTAGATTCTCTTCTTTTCCACTGTTTTTACATTATGGTATCACATATGCAGGTGTACTCAGGGGTAAAGTTTGGCTAGAGCAGGGAGGGGCATCTCTGACTAGTGTTTATTCAAAAGAAATTGAAAGATTCCCTTTGAAGAGTGACCACTTAATAAGGCCAATTAGATGAAAGGTAAGATTAAGGAAAACTACAGCAACCAAGGGAATGACAATTGCTACTTCACATCCCATGTGTTTTACACTGGCCCCTTCAATTGCTACTTAGTGCCATATGTCAGGTAATACATATGTGCATCTTAAAAGTAGATTCTGTTTTGATTAATTTTTCTCTTGGGGCTGGGATTGTGGCTCAGCGGTAGAGCACACGCCTAGCACGGGCGGGACCCGGAGTTCGATCCTCAGCACCACATAAAAATAAAAGCATTGTGTTGTGTCCATCTACACCTAAAAAATAAATATTAAAAAAAATGTTTTTTCCTCTTGATCCAGATAGCTTTTCTTTCTGGGATTAGGTAGTAATCTGATAATCTTACTCCAGGGCCCCTTTATTTGGTGTTTGTTGCTAAAATTGCTCCTTGGTAGCCTTGAACTTGGCTTCAAAACACCTTCCTTGTGGGCACTGTGATAGGCTGCTTTGCCTACATTATTTAAAAAGAGGTCCCAATTATATAGTGAACTTCTGCTTTAGTGGAGGAATAACTTCCTAAATTAAGGTATTTTTCCCTTCCTTGCTGAACGTGGTGGCACATACCTGAAAATACCAGTGACTAGGGAGGCTGAGGCAGGAAGTTTGCAAGTTTGAGGACAGCCTCAGCAAATTTTCAAGGCCCCAAGCAATTTAGTGAGACCCTGTCTCAAAATAAAAAAGGGGTAGGGATATAGCTCAGAGATAAAGTGCCCCTGGTTTCACTCTCTATTCCTAAAGAAAAAGAAAGAAAAGAAAAACACTGTCTCCAGGACTTAGAAACTCCTGTTCATCTTGGCTATTTGCTGCTTCTTCATTCTTTCTCCTCTGGGGCTGGCTTTTCTGTGAATCATTGCTGTCAAAATCAAAGCTACATGCAAAACAGCCCTTTGCTTCTGAGCCCCTCCCCCAAGTCTTCTGTGGTCATCCACAATTCTGCGAAGGTATGAGACAAAATCTTCAGATTTTCCCCATTGGGTCTCTTTTTTTCTTTTCCTCTCTAGTGCCTGGGATTGAGCCCAGGGGCCTCTACCACTGAGCTATGTCCATAGGATCTCACTCATTAAGTTGCTAAGGCTGGCCTAGAACTTAATCCTACCTCAGCCCTCAAATTGCTGAGTTCATGGAAGTATGCCACAGTGCCCAGCTCCCATCAGTCTTCTAGCAACTCTAACCCACTCACTCGTTCTATTATTGACAAAGGATAGCTCATTAAGTGCCATTAGTGATGTAACTTTATATTACTTTATTGTGTGCTGGTGATAAGATGAAACAGAAGTAACCAAGATAATGATAAACTTTTAAGAAAAATTTTTATTGTTTTGAGTGTTAGTATACAATAGCTTAGTTTTAAAGAACTTAGAACTTAAATATGTATTTCAGGTTGAGTATCCTTTGATATGTTGCACAGGTAGTTATATTTTTTAATATCCTTCCTGTTGTGAAAATGAGTTGTGGATCTGAGGAACAAAATGTCCTGTTAATTAGAGTCTAAATGTGGCACACAATGTCAGCAATGCCTATTTAAGAAATAATGTTCTGGTTATGTGAGTTTATATCAAGTGAAAAGGCTACTTGGTTTAAATTAAAATTATGGATCTTAAAGCTTCAGTGTATTTATCAAATGGGAAACAATTTAAAAAGACAGTTGCTTAAAAACTCTTTTGAGATTTCCCTTCCCCAACAAGCACATTTTATGGTGGCATGTCGATTTTTTTTTTTTTTTTTTTTTGAGACAGGGTCTCCCTAAATTGCTGTGTGTACCACTGTGCTTGGTGGTATTCCACAGTATGTTAATTTTAAAAATTTAAAAGGGCTGGGGATGTAGTTCAGTGGTAGAACACTTGCCTAGCACTCCTAGCAAGGAGCCAGGAATAATATAACCCCCAAGGGCATGTATCCAGTGACCTACTTCGTCCAGCCACATCCTACTTGCCTACAGTTACCATCCATTAAAATTATTAATCCAGCTCTGTGTGGTGGCACATAACCTTGATCTTCAGCACTGCAAAAATATGTAAAAAAAAGTAAAAAGTGTTTTTTTTCATTAAAAAAATAGAAGTGAATTTGTTTATACTGAGTGAATTTCCCATCAGCAGATGCATAGTGTGCTAGCAATTAGTTTATCACTGTGAGTCAGACACAGGGAGCAAAAATTTGAAGGTGAACTGCATCTTGTAGAAAAGATGATGTGTGGTTTGGATATGAGTTATTCCCTGAAAGCTTGTGTGCAGGGATGTTCAGAGGTGAAATCATTCAATTATGAGAGATAACTAATCAGTGGGTTAAACCATTTGCTGGATTAATATATATGAATGTGTGTGTATGTGTGTATGTGTATATATATATACACATATGTACTAGGGATGAACTCAGAGGCACTTAACCACTGAGCCACAATCCCAATCCTATTTTGTATTTTATGTAAAGATAGGGTCTCGCTGAGTTGCGTAGTGCCTCGCCATTGCTGAGGCTGGCTTTGAACTGGCAATCCTCCTGTCTCAGCCCCCAAGCCGCTGGGATTACAGGCATGTGCCACCATACCGGGCTGGATTAATAATTTTAATGGATGGTAACTGTAGGCAAGTAGGATGTGGCTGGAGGAAGAAGGTCACTGGGTACATGCCCTTGGGGGTTATATTATCTCTGTCTCCTTGCTTGCAAGTTCTCTTTGCTTCCTAGCTGTCAAGAACTGATCAGCTTTCTTTTGCCACACCCTCTCTATCATGATGCTTTGCCTCACCTATGGCCTAGGGCTATGGAGTGAACTGACCATAGACTGGACTAAAATAAACTTTTCTTCCTCTAAGTTGTTTTTGTCAGGTCTTTTGGTCACAGTGATTCAAAGCTGAACTAACAGATGGAATTTGAAATATGCCTTAGAGGACAGGCTGATTTTGGACTACTGAAGAAGGCATTATGTGAGCCTGAACAGTCTAGGGAGCAACACCCACAGTGGGGGATTTTGGAAAGGATTCTATACATTGTTTGCCTCAAGTTCCATAATGATAGTGAGAAATCATGCAGTCCTGGTTCAAGTGATCTTTCCTCTGGACTGTTGGTTTCCAACTGCAGAACTTCATAAAAAGAAGACAGATGATTCCTTAAGCTGCCCATTTCACAGGGATCTCAAGGAAATCAGATTAGATGGGACTTCTGGGGGTAGAGAAGTCACCCCCAAACTTACATCACCAAGTCACAGCTGGAGCTACTTGGAAATGATCTTGTTGATTCATAAAAGTTTTCAGTAATTGAGTGTGGAAGAAGTGCTATCAATTGAGACTTTAATAATAAAGCTGGCTGGGATTGAGGAGCACTTTCTATGAATAAGTACAGAGCTAAGCATGTACTAACTCATATGTACTCTTAATTCATCTTCATAACTCAGATGAGGCAGGCTTCAACCATTGTTCTATTTTGCAAATGGGAAAACTGAGGCATAGAAGGTTAAGGTCATACAATGGTAGGCAGTACTGGCATTATTCAAACACTCTTTTCTTTCTGAGATGGGCTTTTGGTATGTTGCCCAGGCTGGTCTTCAACTCCTGGGTTCAAATGAGTGAATCTCAGTATCCCAAGTAGCTAGACCACCTGATGCCACATTCTTTAGCGTTAAGATGTACAAAGGCTGGCCCTTGCAGAGCCATAGAGTCAGCCATATACATCAATAGATGGAGGACACATTGGGGATTGTTTAAGTGAAAAGTTGGGGTTAAGGAAGCCTTATGAATACAAGAATGAGGAGTTACCCAGAACAAGCCAAGCAATGGCACTAGAAATGCTAAAGGAGGCTTTGGGAAAACTTGAAGTTCAGTAGGGGAATTGAGGTAGTGAGACTTCTGGTTTCTTTTCACAATGGAACTACATTATTTTGATGAACCCACCTGCAAAAACTTAAAGGTAAAATATGAACAGAAAAAGTTCTTGATTCCAAGAACAGACAAATTATTAAAAAATTTATCAGTCAAGCCAGGAATGGTGATGCATATAATCTAGCAACTCAGGAGGCTGAGGCCAGACCCTGTCTCCCCCCAAAAAAAACAAAAACCACAAAACTGGGGATGTAGCTTAGTGGTGGAGTGCTTACCTAGCATGTGGGAAACCCTGGGTTTGATCCCTGGTAGCAAACACAAAGTTAACAGTCAAAAGTGAAGATAAAGCCAGGTGTAGTGGCCCATGTCTGTAATCCCAGCAACTCAGGAGGCTGAGGCAGGAGGATCACAAGTTTGAGGCCCTGTCTTTTTTAAGGGTTGGGGATGTGCCTTGTGGTTAAGCATACCTGTGTTTGATCCCCGGAAACAAAAAAAAGAAAAAAGAAAAACAAGAATCCAGAAAGAAATGGAGTATAGATGCAATGTTGGAGATCACATTGAGGGTATGGTGTATGCTAGGTAAGTACTCAACCACT